ACGTACGTCGTGTGTGTGTGTGTGTGTGTGTGTGTGTGTGTGTGTGTGTGTGTGTGTGTGTGTGTGTGTGTGTGTGTACGCGCGCGCGCGAGAGAGCTCACAAGATTCTCATTGCACGATATTTCTCTCGCGACGTAAGAGCATAAATATCGTCGTGAAGAGAGGGATGTTTGTGACCCGACGACCGTTGGCGCGCGGAGAGGTGTCGTTTTTATTAAAATAAAAGAAAACAGGAAGGGTGGAGTAAAGGGGGTCAGGGGGGAAAAATGCGGATTTATCAGGAGCGTGAGATAGGCGGAAAATGCGGAGAGGGGCACCGTCTCGAGAATGCATCGCGCCGTCGCTGCGCCGCCGCCGACGTGCTCTCCACTTTGCATAATACCGCTCTGGTCGTTAACTCGATGACATTCGAACAAAATGCCGCCGTTTCGCCTTACGACAGAGCGTCGCGTCGAGGGACAATTCTTCCTTATACGCTCTTACCTCCCCCCTCCCTCCTTCCCCCCCCCCCCTCCTCTCCCTCCTCCACGGCTCTTTCTCTCTCGCCGTATTATTTCTCTCGCCCTTTCTATTGTCTCGGCTCGCACTCGAGCATATTTAAGCAGCGCAGTTACGCGAAACGAATTGCATTGCTCTAACGCAATGGTAAACATCGACGGTAAATTCGCCCCGTCTCGCGGATAGGAGATAATAACAGCTATATCTCCCGCCAGATATTCGTCTAATCTCCGCCGGCGACGTGGTCGCGATCCGATCGCGTGATTCGAGCCGAAGGCTGCCAATTTGCACCTTCGCGATAAATTGATGGCTTTGACATAAAAACGGGTGTAGATGTTATGCGTTTGGGAAATATTCTTTTTCGTTGATAAAGACCATGTGCCAAGACTAATAGCAATGCGAAAGATTGCAGATGCCGCTTATGCGAATACTTAGAAGATGAAACACAAATATGCAGAGTGTTTTATCTGTGGTTTTCCTCAATAAACTTTTGAGTTATAGCATTCTTTGTGTCACCTTTTCAATTTTATTCATTTGTATAATATAATTTACAAAAATAAATAAATAATTAAAAAAAATAAATTCATGAAACAATAAATACGAGAAAATTAAAAGGAAATATTGGAAATTTCTCGTAAATATCATTAGCACAATTTATTATTGGCTAATATTCACTAAATAATTGTTAAAAACCGCGCTTTGACAATCACATCACACGTTTGCAATTTGTAGTTTTACAAATAAATAATAAAACAAAATTAGTCGCTATTTTATTAGTGAAAAATTTAAAATTTTACGCAAATTGTATATAATTTGTTATTTTCAGTATGGTAAATTTAAAAAAATATTGAATGCATGAATCTATAGGTAGAAAAAACTTATAAAAATACAAGTTATATAAAGTTGTATTTAGAAACGGATATTCTAAAGGTTTAAAAATTTTGCGAGTATAATACTCAATATATGCGTATAAATATATTTTTCGTTTATTTTTATTAATAAATTTAATTGTTTATTATTTCTGTGAAAGTGTTGTGAATTGTCAAAGTATGCAAATTTGCAGTTTGCTGACCCAATGAAAATTATGGTTATTGATACAGTTGCTTATACAGCAATTGATATACTCGTTTGTATGGCGTACGTTTTATCGAATGGTTCTCTTCTTTCGTCGGATATCGTAAAATTCGAGGGTTTTTCAAATATGACATACTTTTCAGAAAGTATAACAGTGCTTAAAGTGGTTGAAAAATATGAGCATATTGTATCTTCTCTCACTGCAATTCCATTATAATTCACAATTTATAATTACTCGAACAATCTCTTGCTATTGCTCAATTTAGAAGTCATAGTTTAAATTGTGGTAGAATTTCAGTGTTATATTCTCTTTTACTCTAATGAATAACACACTTGACCTAAAACGGTTAAGCTATTTTGTTCGTTAACAAAAATTATGATGTTTTGATATCAAAAATAAGAGAGAGCCGGGTATTCAAGTTAAAATCTCTATTAAATCTCTATTAAAGGATTTCGAAGTAACAAGTACAATGATGCACTGTGATTACGGTACAAAACATGCTATTATTATTATTATTTATTATTTAAGTGTGTACATAATTGTAATAATACACACGTATACATAATGATGTTAACAAAATGATAACACGAGCTTTTCTTTCAATTTTTTAAATTATAGTTCTGGTTCTCAAAACATTATGTTTACTTCTTCAAAGATAACAATAATTATGATAAACAACAATTTTGTACTATTTGAAAATATCGTGGAAAATTGAGCTATTTTAATCTTTGTCCGAACAATCAATCGTTTAATTAATCTATCTACTCGGATCAGTTTTTGCGGTCTGAAATAGATTTTGATTCCATCATGTTTACTCGTGCAAACGCACACTTACAAACTTACGCGGTAATCGCGATTACGACCGCAAAAGATTCCTATAGGACATCGAACAAATGCACGCATACGCTGAATCCGCCAGGTGTTACGTATTCAATTTTATTTGTGATTACAAGTGAACGCTGTCGTATCCCGCGGTCGCCGCGCAATTAGTTGGATTTCAATTCGCGTCGCCGTGATGCCGGATCGCGGAACTACCGGTATACCTGTCAACGCATTTCGTATTCGGCCGCAGTTTGACCGATATCGCTGAACAATTACAAATGTAACGTGATTGACGCCGACCACCGCCAAGCGGCCGTCATATTGGCCTTGTGGTTCCGATTATAGTCGAAACCTACGTAGCCCATGCAAATTAACGACTTCTAATCTAACTAATTATCAATCGCATTTACATCGCCGCGGGTGGCCCTAAAATTGACACTGCCGACAGGACGTACTAGTTGCGGTTGGTTAAACAAACCCGCGAGATCGTTTTATGGGGTAGATATACGCGGCCGGTATGCAGCGTGTGTTCCTTAACCATCGGCATTCCGATGGGATATAAAATGTCCCCTATCGCGAGCGTTCACGTTGCTTTCCACACAACCGAGATTACATAGAGATTTTATTATGGGAAAGCGATAAGATTCGCGGGCACATCCAAAGGATATTTTAGTTTGTACAAGTTTCCTTAAAAGATCAAGTTAAAATAAGCTACATACGTTTAAGTTGAAAGTAAGCTTCTTATCAAGCATTTTAAAATGTAACTTTTTTAGATTTCGGGAATTAATTTAAAATAATATAATTTTTGGAGCGGAGAGATGATGAAAAAAGTTGTTAAAACAATATTGCACAATTGATCAGAAATATCTAGGACAATTTTCACAGACGTAACATTACAGCAATCAAGGATATAGCGACGAAATTCTCGCATGATTTCATCGGATTAGGAGAGTTTCGATGTGCTGTCAGTTATTCGACAGGACATATTGTCTTTCTCTAGTCATGTGTGCGCAAGATTGGAGTGCTGTTTATCGATGCGAGCGGCATCGGTTTCGTCAATTACGAATCTACCGAGATTGTCCCCAGCCGACATGCGCGAGCCGTCGTGTCGTTACATTAACCTGAGGTAGTAATTACATTCGCAATGAACAAGCGAGCGGTATAGATGCAACGGCTTCTAACCTGATTACCGATGATTAATCCGGTTACGTAGGCGAGCAAAATTGGCCGAATTACTATTAATGATCTTGGGAGCGCGATCGATGAAACTTGCTTGAAAGTTGATGCGGGACACACAGCTCGGTCAGCTTTGCAGCCACGCCGATTATTACCGATTAAACGTTTCCTTTCCGGCCGATGCGATCAAAATCGCAGAATAGCTTTCGACTTTATTTGCATCATCCAGCAATTACGAGAGGAATCGAGGGAGCTGCAGCTCGAATTGGCTTCGCGCAACGCAAACTGATCGTCGTATTGACCCCGTGACTTGATTACATTTCAAACGGCCGTGCGTGACGATAATGGGCTCTAATCCGCTTAATTATTAGTTACGTTCAAACCGCTATAAATGTACTCGCCTGTGCGATTCTGCGTG